CCTCGGACTGAAGGTGCCCGGGTTCCATTCTGGTCAAGGGCACATGCCCTGGTTGTGGGCTGGGTCTCCGGTAGGGGGCGTGCAGGAGGCAGCCAATCAATGATTCATCATTGATGTTTCTATCTATCTACCTCCCCCTTTCTCTCTGAAATCAACAAAAATATATTTAAAATAAAATAAAATTGTCTGAAAAGAAGGAATATAGCAAAAATTTGAGGATCACTAACAAAGTATACTTATGCAAGTATAGGATTTTCTATCCAGAGGTTTCAGTAAAATCTCACATCTTACACTCATACGCACAGAGTTCTCATTAAAGGACTCTCCTGCCCCTTAGCGGTTCTGACCCTTTAATCATGTGTACATACATTGTTTCATGGTACAGACACAGACACCAGAGAATTCTAATCAAAGCCAAGTAATCACCCCACACTTAGAAGTGGTAGCTGCTATTTAAACTGCCCAAACTAAAAACAAGGAAGCTAATTAGGGAAGAGAATATCATGTGTCATCCATTAAATAGCTAATATAATGTTTAAAACTTTATAATAAAAGACAATGCTGAGAAAGAAAAAAGTTAATAAGATTGAGATTTGAGTGAAAGAAAAGAGTACTGTGATCTAACCAAAAGGATTCTCTGGGCATTTATTTTATATATTAAGATATATGCCCAGACAGATCCATTTCCCCCTGGGCCAATTCTCCTATAACAAGCTTAATTAAATGGCAAAGAGCAGACCCAAATAGGGGTCAGATAACACTTGTGGTTTGACGTAATTTATTTGTTGACTGGAATTTTCCAAAAACAAATTTCAGTAACACAATTACAGGTCTTATATTGAATAGTAAGTAGTATGTGTTTTCAAAAGTATTAGGTAGCCCTAGCTGGTTTGGCTCAGTGGATAGAGTGTCAGCCTGTGGACTGAAAGGTCCCAGGTTCAATTCTGGTCAAGGGTACATGCCTGGGTTGCAGGCTTGATCGTCCCTGCCAGGAGGGGGCATTCAAGAGGCAGCCATTCTCTAACATCATTGATGTTTCTATTTCTCTCCCTCTCCCTTCTTCTCTGAAATCAATAAAAATATATTCAAAAAATAAAATAATAAAATAAAATAAAAAGCAATGAGTAAGCTTGACCTTAAATTAAAATACAACCCACTAAGGTGAACTTTAAAACTTCAAAAAAACAATGTTTCCATCTTATGATTATTTTTTTCTCTTACAGTGGCAAGCCCATCACCCTGCGCAAAACTGCTGTAATTCTTGCCCTAACCGGTTTGGCTCAGTGGATAGAGCATCAGCCTGCGGACTCAAGGGTCCTGGGTTCAATTCCGATCAAAGGCATGTACCTTGGTTACAGGCACATCCCCAGTCGGGGGGTGTGCAGGAGGCAGCTGATCGATGTTTCTCTCTCATTGATGTTTCTAACTCTCTATCCCTCTCCCGTCCTCTCTGTAAAAAATCAATAAAATATATTGAAAAAAAATCAATAAAATATATATTTTTAAAAACTGCTGTAATTCTTAATTGAATTTGATATTTTTAAAATATTATGCTGGTAATATATTTTGTTTAATATTTGTGGAATAAAGAAACTATTTGGTTAATAGAGGTATTAATTTTAAGCTAAAAATAGAGATAAACTTATTTTACTCTCTGAAATTAAGTTATATGGCAGCTTCTAAAGTGATTGATAGTACATTAAAATAATGTTACAATTTTTTAATCTCCAAACTCAAATATTTTTACCTTAAACTCAACATATCTTTCTATTTAATGTTTTCTCCATTTCATATTCCAAAAATCAGACTATTTCTATGCATGTATATGACCTTTTATGGGTATGGGGATAACATATGTATGTGTGCACACATATACTGTATTGGAAATATATATTTCATTAAAAATATCTTAAGAATGAAGGTAATTCCTATCTGGTAGTTAAAGTAATTTGATTGGCAGATTTAAGCATACCTAAAGAATTACATATCTCTAGAGTTAACTGTTATTACTTACATGCTTTGTTATAAGCAAGTTTACCTGTTCATAAAGAAGAAAGGTCTTGTCTCTCTCAGATGTAAGAACCTTGACATTACCCTGAATTTCTGCCAAATGACGCTCATATTTTTCCAGCATGCACTTAAGTTCTTCACGGTCTCGTGTGGTCTTCAAAAGGTCTACATCACAGTGTGTAGCCTACAATTATGAGACAAGAAATGTGAAGTACTTCTTTGATATGATGGCACTTCACAGCCTTTACTTAAGCAATCATGATGGTATAAAGAAAGGAAATGATGGAAGAAAGTTTAAAAATCACCTCGCTTTTAAACAGCTTCATCCCAAATTGCTCCACATTTATCTGATTACCTCCTAGCTCTGACAAATACTGGGGATAAAGAACCAATTTCAATGGTCCACTGTCTATCAAAGAGACCTCTGTCTCCCAACATCTTTGATATACCAATTCATGCCAATCAACCTGAATTGTTTCCAGATTAGGTAAATTAAAGAATAAAAGTCACTGTTTGAGCAATAAACTCCAAAATATTTATAACTTTCCAACACTTACCCGGGAAGATGGTGACAGGCGTCTTGGACTTTTGGATCTACTCCTGATCATCTTTCTCAAGTTTTGAGCTTCACTCTTGCAGTGATCTTTGTCTGCTTCTAAGTTCTTGATAAAGGAATCAAGTCTGGAAGGAGATTTATTTTGTGATGTTTTAGTTTCTAAAATTATCTTGCCAGAGAGAAAAAAATCAGGCCAATATTTCAAGCTAAACTACAGCAACATTTTCTACATGAAGTTGAACACACACAGGATCCTTAAAAATAATAAATGTGTTCTTTTTAAAAAATATATATTTTTATTGATTTCAGAGAGGAAGGCAGAGGGAGTGACAGAAACACCAACGATGAGAGAGAATCAATGAACAGCAGCTTCCTGCATGTCCCCACTAGGGATCGATCCCTCAACCTGGTCATGTGCCCCTGACCAGAATTGAACCCAGGACCCTTCAGTCCACAGGCCAATGCTCTATCCACTGAGCTAAATCAGGTAGGGTAATAAATGTGGTGTTTTAAAAATAACTTTGAAAAATCACACTTTAACTAGAGCAGTTAGTTTTCGTTCTTTCCCAGCATTTCTGAATGTTCTATATTTGATTTAACTAAAAGTACTCCTAAATTTACCCAATAATTTTGAAAAGAAAGAAGAAAATAAAGAAATTTCAGAGAGGCCAGAAATGTCCAAAGGATAGTTACAAATCCTAAAAATAAAATTAATTTACTTAGAAAAACTTGTATAGCATCTAAGTATTGTGCAATAATTGTTCAAGGAATGAATAAATTAAAGGAATACTGGATATTCTATAGTTATAAGAACTTTCAAGTGCATTCCCATTCACTTTAGCATATTTAGAAACATTTCTTTTACATTTATTTTACCAATGCTATAATGGAAGGAAATAACAGATATACTTACAGAGAAGATGTTTCAAATATTTTAAATAATAAAATGGAAAGGTCTAAACAGAGCAGTTTTCATTTCACATTGTTAAAGAAAACATATTACCTAGAACTAAACAACAAAACTTGAAATAACAGATATTTCTTACTAGGAAAAAGAAAATATGTAGACAAATGCATCTTACATGTTGAGAATTAAATTACTCACAGTTATCATTTTAAGTCAGTTAACAGCGAAGGGCATTGATACTTAAAACTAACCAAAAGTTCTCTCTAGGAGAGCAAGGAGTAACGATGAAATGGAGCAAGAACAGCATTGCTCTTACACATGGGAGTATCCTGGGCAACCAGCAGAGGGCTGACTGTAGAACACAAACATTTTTCATTGTTCACAAAATCATGAGAGTCAAAACATATGTACAATTTTTTATAGTTTTACTAATATTAACAAAAATAAAAATTATTACCTAACATATAAAAGGCACTTACAGATCTAAGCCTTTTTCTTGTATCTTCCAATACTATTATATTATTTTGCTGGCAAATGAGTTCAATCTGAAAATCAAGCCAGAAAAAAATTATTTGGATTTTAAATATGTAAATTGATTTAACTGGGAAAAGAAATATAAAAAGCAAGACACTTAAAAATAAAAACATGCAGTGAATATTTTACAAAAGAAACAATACTCCACCTCTTTATGTTTTCCTACCTTTGATGGTAAAAGAACCTAGCATGAAGTATAATAGTTTCTTTGAATTAGCTAATATCTTGTAAAAAATATTGATATTTTTTAAATTACTCCCACAAACTAGAAAAAATGTCAATACTAATTATAATCCTGAAGATAATAATATGGAAGAAATAAAAGAATGACTAGGATGTTAAAAGTTTTCCCATATCACCCATGGTCAGAAATGATTGTCTTTTCCTTTGAATTCTTAATAGCTTAGTTCAATCCAACCCACAAAATCTTTTTGTATAAGATTTATGACATCAAACATATCCAGTCTCATAGTATAGTTCCCCATAGTTATAGTTTAGTTTAGTATATAACTAAATTGTATGTTCCTAGAGGCCAGTGACTATGTTTTTATGCAAAGCTGTAAAACTCTCTGCTGAAAGTTGGCAAGCTAGTTTATTTCTCAATTCATAAACCTCTCATTATTCTAAACTAAAATGTACTATATTTTAAATGTACTATATTTTATTTCTTTAAATGTATTATTTTTAAATATAATCTAGGACTACTATGCCTCATTTGTGCTTTTGACTAAAGTATTTTTCTAAGATGTCTCTGGAAGTCATACTTTTATGAAATATTATGGGATTTTATGGTATGAGACATAACATACACAGTTTGGGTAAGCTTATGTTATGGGTAAGTTATTTGGGTCGACAATTTTCAGTGCTTTAATTATACTACTATGTAGACACTAAAAAAAAGGATAAATATTGAGTAGTGTGTATACATATCCATACTAAATTAGTATTAAAACTCCACAAGGCCAAAAGTTTTATTTAGTATGACACATTCTTATAAAAAATAAATTTATATAAAAATATCCTATATGCAGATGGAAGAAAATTTATATCCTATCTAATAAAAGAGAAACATGGTAATTAGCGTACATCCGCTACCCTTTCCATTGGCTAATCAGGGTGATATGCAAATTAACTGCCAGCCAAGATGGCAGCCGGCAGCCAGGCAGCTTGAAGCTAACATGAGACTTGCTTTCTTCAGTGACGGAGGACTCCAACGTTCCCCGCCTGCCTTGCTCTGAGCTTGCAGTTTTAGAAACACTGTTAAAAGTATAGAAGCTAAACAAAACTCTAGAAACCTGCTTTCAGCCTTCTGGGATCTCAGAGCTGGAGATGATACAGTGTTTTGATTATAGAACCCAAACAAACCAGATACCTGCCTTCAGCAGCGGAAGCCTCAGAGCTGGAGCCAGAGCTAAAGCTGGCCCAGAATAAAAAAACAACAACAAAGAAAACAAGGAGCGGTTGGGAGCTCCAGTCACCCGCCAGCCTGAAAACAGCCCTCAGCCCCTCACCCAGACTGGCAAGGCACCCCAGTGGGGACCCCCGCCCTGAAGGATGTGTGACCAGCTACAAACAGCCATCATCTCCTCACCCAGGCAGGCCAGGCACCCCAGTGGGGACCCCCACCCTCATCCAGGACACCCTTAAGGGCAAACCAGCTGGACCCACCTGTCAACTGATCGGCCCTGCTCTGTGTGTGACAGGGTGCGGCGCCCCAACCCCCTGATAGGCCCTACTCTGTGTGTGACAGGGTGCTGTGCCTCAACCGTCCGATCGGCCCTGCTCTGTGTGTCATAGGGTATGGCGCCACCCCCCTCCACGGGTCCTGCTCTGTGTGTGATGGGGTAGAGCCATAACCTCCCCATCGGCCCTGCCCTATGTGACAGTGGCGGCGCCCCAACCCCCTGATCGGCCCTGCTCTGTGCGTGACAGGGGGTGGCGCCGCAAACTCCCCATCGACCCTGCCTTGAGTGTGACAGGGGTCAGTGCCCCAACCCCCAAATCGGCCCTACCCTGAGCGTGACTGAAGGCGGCATCGCAACCTCCCAATCTGCCCTGCTCTGTGCATGACAGGGGGCAGTGCCCCAACTCCCCAATCGGCCCTGATCTGAGCCCGACCAGGGCTGCACCTAGGGATTGGGCCTGCCCTCTGCCACCTGGCATGAAGCCTAAGCCAGCAGGTCATTATCTCCCAAGCGAGAGGGCACAGGCTGGGCTAAGGGCCCACCCCTCCCCCCCGAGTACACAAATTTTGTGCACCGGGCCTCTAGTATATATATATACACACACATATACACACACACCCAAAGAGGTAATACGCAAATTAGGCCAAGATGCCGTACTGGGTCACGACGGATAGGAGGAGGTTGTGCTCGCAGGTGAGGCCCAGAGCAGAGATGGAGACAGAGACAGGGCGGGGGGAGGGGGGGCTGCCCAAGCTGGTGCAGTGAATCCGGATCTGGCGGCCTGAGTGGATGCAGGGAGTAGGGTAGGGGGTGGCCTGGGGCAGAAGTCAGGCGCAGGTCCCAGCTGCCCGCGGCTCCAGTCAGGCCTGACTCCCATGGCGGCCAGCGCTGTGCGAGTTAGGCGCGGGTCCTGGCCACCCACGGGGTGCCTCCTCGCACGGCGGGAGGCAGGGCACCACTGGTCCTCTAGTAACATATAAACTGAGGGAGATGGGTTTTCTCTAGTTATTACAATGTATGACTACAGATATTATTTTATATAGGTGAAAATTTTTAATAATAGATATGTATTACTTTACATATAAAAAACATAATGCTGATTCTGCTCTGAAAAACAAAATAAAAAGATGCTAACCCAGTTTGTTCCTTTATTTGACAAATGTTTAATGAGGACCATGTGCCTGACATTTTGCTATATGCTAGATCTAGTGGTAAATAAAATAGAAATCTCTGTCCTCATGAAGCTGACATTCTACTTAAAAAGAGAAAAACAAAAGATATTAGGTAAAATATATGTCAGATAGTGAGTGTGTTGTTCAAAAAATATATATTGAGCACTCACATCTGTTCTTTGCACTGGACATATAAAAAAGTGGACAAAATAAATTAAGATCCCTGCCTTTGGGGATGTTATATTCCAGCTGGGTAGACAATTAAAAACAAAGCTAACAAATAAATTATATAGTACAATAAAAAAAAGAGCAGAGTTAAGGCTATTGGGGTGTTTATGAAGGAACAGGTTAGAATTTTAAATAGAGTGATTGGGGAAGTCCTCATGAAAAGGAGCCCTTTGAGCAAAGACTTAAAGGAGGGAGCAAGTCAACCATATAAAAATCAGGGCCAGCACTCCAAGCAGAAGATACAGCGTACAGCAAAGGTCCTAAAGGCAAAAGATGTCAGCTAAATTCCAAGGAACAGTAAGGAAGCTAGTGTGGCTGGAGCAGAGGGAGGGATAAAGTAAGTAGGAAAGTGCTACGGAGAAAAATAAAGCAAGCAGAGGAGAGAGAGAGTTGTGCATATTTGTGTGTGTCTGATAATGGCTTCTAAGTTAATTAAAAATATAAACTGTATCAAAAGAAACTAGTACTAGTAATGGTGAAATTGCAATTCTGCTTCTCCATATTTAAAAAAATTGTATTTTTAATTATCTGGGAAACACTGTTTTAAGATATAAATGGCAAACAACTCAAAATGAGAAGATAAAAGGAGGCATATAGTTGTGGTGGTTTTCAAATGTCCACGAACTCTAATATTCCTTCCTTCAAAAAATGGAGCTTACCTGCCCTCCCCTTAAGTGTGGGCTACACCTAGTGACACACGTCTAATGAATAGGATGTGGCGGGAGTGCTGGTGCACAGCTTGTGGGTCACCACAGGCATTACCGATTCCTCCTTGCTGTCTCTCTTGGATCACAGGCTTGGGGACAAGCCAGCTGCTGTAAAGACTATATCAAACGACCCGAGGGAGAGGTCCACCTGGCGAGCAACTGAGGCTTCCTGCCAAAAGCCAATGGCCACCTGAGTAAGGCATCGTAAAAGCAAATCTTCCACGACAGTCAAGCAATTATCTTGATGATAATTCCTAAGAAAACATGGACCAGAACCACTCAGCTAAGTGGCAATTGAAACTGCGAGATATAAATGTTTGTCATTTAAGGCCATTAAGGTTTAGGGAAAATTTGATACATAGCAATAGATAACACAATAGTAAATCTTCAAAACATTTTTATGGAATAAATAATGGAAGAAGTTTCTCTTTAAAAAGTTGTCC